AAAAAAAAAAAAAAAGAAAAAAAGTGGTAATTGTGGTTTTCGTCACACACAAAATTGCCAACCCAGCTAGGCCAGGATTGACAAGTGTATCCTGTGAAGGCTGGAGAGAGAATGCTGAGAATGCTGCCCGGGTGGTCTCTGAGGCAAGTCCTCATTCCTCTATTTCTCTTCACCGAGCTTTAGAATGTATGCGCTATCCCAAGCTCAGAGGTCATAAAAAGGAGAGAAGAAACCATGAGATAAAACCCAGAGATGACAGATCAGCCCCATCCCCAAACACGGGCCTCACAGCACACAGTAATGATGTGTCCCCCACATGGGCCTCAGAGACACAGAGCAGTAATGTGGGCATATGTCCCTAACATGGGCCTCACTCACGCAGCAGGGATATGTTCCTCACATGCCTTGCACACACAACATTGACAAGTCCCCTACATGCCTCGCACCACATGCAATGGTACATGTCTGTGTCCCCCACATGCCTCACACACACAGCACTGACAATGTTCCTTACGTGCCTCACAGCACACGCAGCAGTCACCTGTCCTCCACATGCCTCACAGCACACGTAGCAGCGCCATGTCCACGTGTCCCCCACATACCTTGCGTACACAGCAGTGGCCTGTCCCCCACATACCTCACAGCACACGCAACAGCACCACATCCACATGAACCCCACATGCCTCACAGCACACAGTGGTCTGTCTGTGTGTTCCCCACACGCCTTGCACACACAGCGGCACCGTGTCTGTGCCCCCCACATGCCTCGCACACGCAGTGCTCACCTCTGGAGCTGGCGCAGGAAGTGCTGGAGCAGTTGCTGGATGGGCGAGCTCTCATTCTCGGCTGACAATTCAACGGAAAATAAAGCAACGGAAGTGAATGAAAGACTGTGATCTGGCTCCGCGGCCCTGCAGCCTCATGGTGGGCCTGCCTGCTGGTGCTGCACAGCTCAGCCAGACTCGGCCAGGCTCCTGGTGGGAGCTGCGGCCCACTGTGGCCCAGCCACGGCACTGCACATCCTGTCTCGGGCACAGTGTCAACACAAGGGCGAGGCTGCGGACACAGGTGGACCCCACAGCCACCCATTACTGCTGCTCACACAGGTTCTTCAAGTTCCTGAAGTCCTTCCTCGAGGCCCTCACGTGTGCCACAGGGATAAAAACATACCGGCAGGGGCCCGTGAGGTCACAGTGTGACCACATCTCAGAGTGAACACACAAGGCATGGGGCCTATGAGAATGCAGTGTGACATCTCAGAGTGAACACACACAGAGCATGGGGCCCATAAAGACACAGTGCGACCACATCAAGTGAACACACAGGGTATGGGGCCTGTGAGGACATGGTGGACCATATCTCAGAGTGAACACACAGGACACAGGGCCTATGAGGACGCAGCATAACCACACCTTAGGAGTGAACGTACCAGGGCACAAGGCCTGTGAAGATGCAGTCTGAACACATCTCAAAGTGAACACATACAAGGCACAGGGCCTGTGAGGACACGGTGTGACCACATCTCAGAGTGAACACACATAGAGCATGAGGCCCATAAAGACATGGTGTGACCACATCTCAAAGTGAACACACAAGGCATGGGGCCTATGAGAATGCAGTGTGACCACATCTCAGATGAACACACACAGAGCATGAGGCCTGTGAAAATAAGGTGTGAACATATCTCAGAATGAGAACACACAGGGCATGGGGCCCACAAAGACACGGTGTGACCACATCTCAGAGTGAACACACAGGGCATGGGGCCCATGATGATGTGGTGTGACCGGATCTCAGGGTGAACAAACACAGGGCACAGGACCCCACAAAGACGTGGGCTAATCACCTGTCAGGGTGAAAACACATACCACATGGGACTTCCACAAGAATCTAAGATGACCACATACTAAGGTAAAAACATGGGATTACCAGGAGGATGCAGTATGACCACATCTAGGAGCCCACAGCTGTCCCTCAAAGAACAGTTCTGCTAGGACACATCCCTCAGTGGGGACAGCCAAAATTCGTGGGAGAAATTCCAGGAGAGGGAGTCAAGTATGCCCAGACTCAGCTCTGAGTGAAATAAGAAAGACCCCAAACGGAAGAGAGAACTCACAGTAAAAGAGTAGAACTAGGGTGCCCTGGGTGGATCGCAAAAGCACTTCAGGTAACTGAGGGTCACGACTTGACACGTACGTTAACCGGGTTAAGGCATACATTACTGCCAACAGCACAAACTCTACAGATGTGTTCGCCTACCCGCTGTCACGTTGTAGCCAACCTCTCCAACTCCACTATACCCAGCAATGACCCCACCTGCCCTACCTGTTCACATGGCAGCGACTTAACGGCAGGAAGGGGATACTGCTCACAAAAACATCAGTAATGCCTCTCTCCCTCACCCCAACAAATCAGAGGCAGTTGACCCAAAATCAAGAAACGAAGGGCCTGAGGCACAGGCCAGCCACTGGCTCAGGGTCACCTGGTGTCAAAGACTGAGAGGAAAACCTGGCTCCCAGCCGGAGGAGCAGAGGCCCAAGAGCTTCCCCACGTTAAGCCAGCATGGCTGTCTCCTGTCTCTCTGCGAGCATGTCTCCCAACCCTGCTGCCTCAGCCTCTACTATTGGGGAGATGACCCCAACCACAGGACATTGGGGGTCTAGGAAGAACCACTCCAGCACAATATCAACACCCCAATCACACCCAGTGCTGAGAGCTGGGAGAGTGGGGGACAGAGAGGGGTCTGTGAGCTGGGAATTCTGGCCAATGCCACCCTGGCCCGTGCTCTCTCTAGGGCCCTGGCAGATCTCACTGACACCCTCCAGCTCCTATGCTGCGGTCGACATCGACACTAAGCAGCTACAGACCCACCACTCGGACCCTAAATGGATGGGCACCAAGCGGCGACACTTGGGCAGAGGCACTCCCCCCAACTGCCACCTCCCAGTGGGAACCACCTGTGTGACCTCCTGACACACCTGCTCCTGCCAGTCTGCCCAACCCATGTGGGGAAGTGAGGGCCAAGAGAGTGGATTTCGGGGCAGGGGCAAAGGTCAGACAGGGAGCTAGGGACTGCAAGCCACACATAGTCTAGAAGGAGTGTTTTTTCTGGCTTTCTTTTCACAAGTCTATGTGGAAGCGCCTACCTTCTAGATGCTGAATGGGAAAGCAGGACCCGAGAATGCCGTGAGGCCCTGGGAGGAGCAAGATCCCTCCTTTCTGCCCGTCTCCCTAAAAACTCAAACACGCCAAACCTTCCTACAGGGATGAGGCGGCCCCCCTTGCCCCCCGCACCTCTGGCCCAACACTCACCTGGCTGCGTGCGGCAAGCTCGGACAGGCCTGTCGGGGGGCGGCTCCACCTCGACTTTCTTCCCGGGGTCGAAGTCATCGGCCTCACCCTCCGTGTCACAGTGTTCCTTCTCCCGCTTCCGCTTCTTCTCCTCCTGCAGACAGGGGCCGGGTGAGAAGCATGGCCCAGAGACCCCACACAGGCAGCACAGACAAGCCACCAGTGCCTGCCCCCAGACGGCCCGCGCCTGGAGCCGGCCCAGGGGGGCGTCCCCGAGTGCAAACGCCCACTGCGGACCCATGGGCTCCCCATGGTTGCCCAGCTCCCCACGGGTCTCCCCGCTGTGTGGGTGCAGCCCCAGCCTCCTGGTGGCAAGGCTCCCCGGGGTGTCTGCAGCCCGGCCAGCCAGCCGCTGTTCCCTCCGGGCTGCAGGCCCTGCACGGCCCGCCCCCAGGCCGCAGCCGGGTCACCTTCCGCTTCCTGCGCTCTTCCTCGTCAAGATGCTTTTCCTTCTCGGCTTTCTTCTTTTTCTTCTTCTTTTTCTCTCGGTGCCTCTCCCGCTCGTGGTCGGACCTGTCATCGTAGTAACTGGAGTCGTGGCCAGACCCCGAGAGCTCGGTCACCTCGCTCCCGCCGACCTTCAGGACCAGCTTCAGGGGCTTCTCCAAAGGCTTGTCCGCGTAATCTGTGCCCGAGGCGACAGGGACGAGGGTTCGCGGCGCGCCCAGCGGGCAGGGCACCGGCAGCTCGGGGGCACGCGAGGGGCTGCCTTACTGAGGGGGCGCCTATGGCTCGCAGGCCCATGGGGACCGAGGTCGCCGCCTGTCCCGGTTGCCGATCCCCTTCGCGACCGCGAGGGGGCCCGCGCTTCAGGGTCGGGGAGCGCGCGGCCGGCCCACCTCCGCAGCTCCGCGCCCCGGCGGCCGTCCACCTCGTCCAGCGCCAGCTTCCGAACCCCACAACCCCGGAACGCCCGCCCGCGAACGCCCGCCCGGCCGCGTCACAAAACGCGGGCCGCGCGCTCACCCTCGTACGACGAGCGCCACTCGGCCTTGTGCTTCTTATGCTTCTTGCCCATGGCGCCGCCGCCGGGCCCGCCCGAGCGCCGCGCGGCCGCCCCGCCTCCGCTCAGAGACCGGCGGAAGTGGCCCCGCCCGCGGCGCGAGCGTTTCCGGGTCACGGGCTGCCTCACCGGGCGCGGCGGATTTGAAGCGCGGCTGAGGAGACCGAGCCGCTGAGGGAGGCGACCGTGGGGCTTCGCGACTCCCGGCGGCGGCGCCATGGACGAGGCGGTGGGCGACCTGAAGCAGGCGCTGCCCTGCGTAGCGGAGTCGCAGACCGTGCACGTGGAGGTGCGCCAGCGCGGCAGCAGGTGAGATGCACGGGCGGACCGGCCCCCGGCCCCGAGCTGGGCCCGAGAGGCCGGCCCGCGCTCGCCCTCGAATCCCGACCCGCCTGGGAGGAAGAGCCGACCCCGGGTCGAGTGGAACCTGGTGGGCCCGGCGCCCAGGCCCGAAGTTTCGGCGGAGGTGTCCGTTTTGGGCGGGGCGCTGAGACCCTTCAGTCGCCTCCCCTCAGGGACGTTTTGGCTTTCGGATTTCCGGCCGGTCCCGAGCCGTTGGTGTCCCGGCCCTGCCTCCGGGCAGCGGGTCACAGGGACCCCCTCTCAGCAGCCACACTCGGCGGGTGGGTCCGGAGCAGACGGGACCAGACGGTCGGGGACGCGGGCGCCGGGGTCGCAGTGCCCGCAGTGGAGCGCTGTGCTGCGCAGCGCCGGGGGGGCCCGCGCCTGGGCCACCCGGGCAGGGCGGCAGATCTGGGAGGGGCGGGAGGCGGCGGCGAGGCCCGCGGACCCCGTCAGCTTCTGGCCCAGGCGCGGGCCCCCCCACGGGTGCTTGCCGTCGGTCTCTGGTCCGTAGTGACAGAGCCAGCGTTAGCTGAGCGTCGCTCCAGACACTGCAGCGGGCCGACCCGCCTCCGGAATAGCCCAGCCCGGTGCGAGCGAGCCCAGCCACGGGCAGACGGCGGCTTCCCGGCTCCACAGGCTGGGTGCCCCGACGGGGCCTGCCCCTGACGCCCGTCTGATTAAAGAGGAAAGCAATCTCGCGCTTCAGCTCGGTCCGGACCTGTGTGTCTCACGTGCCCTCCCAGTGCAGCCGAGAGAAACCAAGCCAGGAAAATTAGAGACGGACCATTTGTTTAAGAGATGTGGGCGTCAGAGCAAACGACGGGCTGTCCGCGCTGGAGACCAGCCCGCAAGGGTCTCAGGGTCTTTTGATCCGCTTTTCTGAACTCCTGGTTTCTTTGTCTCCAGGTGTAAGACGTCTTTGGGTTCAGTCAGCCAAGTCCGGCGATCTCCTCCCCACCCCCTTGGTCCCTTCCTTTCAGTCAGCTTGCTTCTTCCTGACTGAAGAAGCAGTATCCCTGTAACTTTATGGGCCCCAAGCATTAGTCATTAATTATTTCCAGGAGTCTGATAGTCCCGAATTTTGTTTTTCTGTAGTATTCCATCTTGGCTGTGTGTAAATGAGCGTGAGGTTTGATTTTATTAACCCTTCACCCAGCACTGCAAAAACGGAAGACATAAAGCTGAGCGTCAGGAAGCTGCTGAACAGGCACAACATTGTGTTTGGCGATTACACGTGGACGGAGTTCGACGAGCCTTTTCTGACCAGAAACGTGCAGTCTGTGTCCATCGTTGACACAGAGCTGAAGGCTAAAGGCCCCCAGGTAACTCACCCTCCCCAGTAGTGGAGCTGTTGGCTACACACAAGCAAGTGCTAGTGTATGTGGGGGGCTTTGATACCATATTGTCAGCAACTGGCCAGCCTGTCTGTCTGCATGGGTCAGCGAGTGCTGGCTGGCTGCTGCGTATTACGAACCAGGTGCCGGAAGTTAGATGCAGACCCTGGTGTTGGCGCAGCCATGCGGTGGAGAGACAGACTGGGAAACGTTAGAAGACGACACTGTGAGGATAGGGGGCAATGCTTACAAGCCCTAGTCCTTCTGTATCCATTCTCTTGACAAACACTTGTGGTGCACACATGTGCTGGAACCATAGGAGATGTTGGGGCAGCACAGGGGAGATGGGCTTTCTTCCAGCAGTTGCAGTTCAAGTCCATTGCACAGACTAGCTCCCCTACCAGCTTGGAGTTTATGCATGGACTCAAACGAAGCAGCGTGTGAGTGGTGGGTGCTGGACACAGCCCATTACATCTTACAAAGAACCCATCTTGCATAACTGGTTGGGCAATAAATTTTGCCTGGGGATATACCTCCTGTTTTTGGATTAGGGTTAACTGTTCTGGTGTTGCCTGGGTTTATCCCCATTAAGATTCGGTGCCTTAATTCTCGGTTTTGGCCAGCATGAGCCAAAGGCAAGCACTGCCCAGCACTGGTGGAAGGACAGCAGGGCACAGCCTATCTGGAGGGTGTCTCTCCCTGTTTACAGTGTCACCTTTGACTCTGCAGACTCACCTATAGGGGTTTACCTCAGCAGGTCATTGTGCAAGCTTGTGGAGATATACTAACAAAAACGTCCGTTGTTTTTTTACTGAGTGTAAGTATCTTGAAATACAACTACCTGTCACTCAGATCAGTTAAACAAATTTGAAGCATATACCAAAAACCAAACCCACTGTCATTGAGTTGATTATGACTCACAGTGATCCTGTAGGACGGAATGTAACTGTACTGTAGGGTTTTTTAAGCCTATAAATCTTTACAGAAGCAGACTGCCTTATTTTTCTCCCATGAAGCAGCAGGTGAGTTCAAACCACTGAACTTTTGGTTAGCAGTCGAATGCTTAAACCACTAAGCTACCAGAGCTTAATTTGATGCCTATGCACAGTGATATATAATATAGCCATTAAAATGAAATAAATTTCCATACAACATAAAATGGTTTTGAACCATGTTGTTGTTTGTTAGATGCCGTTGAGTCGGCTCTGACTTACAGCAACCCTGTGTACAACAAAATAAAGCACTTCCCTGTCAGGTGCCATCCTCACAGTCCTTGCTGTACCTGAGCCCATTGTTGCATCCACTGTGTCAGTCCATCTCGTTGAGGGTCTTCCCCTTTTTTGCTGACCCCCCACTTTACCATGTATGATATCCTTCAGGGAATGGTCCCTCTGACAACATGACCAAAGTAGATGAGACAAAATCTGGCCATTCTTGCCTCCAAGGAGCATTCTGGCTGTTCTTCCTGGACAGATTTGTTCTTTCTTCTGGCAGTCCATGGTACTTTCAGTATTCTTTGTCAACACCACAACTCAAAAGTATCAACTCTTCTTTGGTCTTCTTTATTCATCATCTAGCTCTCACATGCGTGTAAGGCAATTGAAAACACCATTAGCTAGTGTTGTTGTGTGTGCCATGGAGTCATATCTGACTCATAGTGACCCCTCCTTGGGTTTCCAAGGCAGTATCACTACGGAAGTAGATTGCCCCATCTTCCTTCCGAGGAGTGGCTGGTGGGTTTGAACTGCCAGCCTTCTGGTTAGCAGTCAAATGCCTTAGGTACTATGCTACCAGAGCTCCTTTAGCTAGGGTTAGGCACACCTTAGTCTTCAAAGTGACATCTTTGCTCTTCAGTACTTAAAGAGTTGTTTGAAGTAGTGAGTGGAAATGTGCGCAATTAGAAAACTGTGGTAGAACATGTATAATTCTATGTGCATACATGAAACATCACGGGGTGGATTATAGGAGATGCAAATAATTTTGCATTGTTTACATTTTTTCAGTAAGTAGTTGGTACTTTTATAATTACAGGAAGCAATAAAGGTTTTTTTGAATAGGATGCAAGCCCCCAAATGGAAGAAGGGTTGAGACACTTAATAAACCACTAATCTTAAACCTGAAATAAAATTGCTTTTATCACTTCACTTGAGACGTAGTTTTTCACATAATTCTGTATGTTCTCTTTGCTTATGGACCACAGCATCTGATTGTCGCTTTAGTGAGCAGTGTGTTGTGTCACTGTTGGTTTAGCTGTGGACCTCTGTCTCTTGGTGTCATGAACAATGCATATCTTGTTGATGGTTTACTTGTAGACCTCACTGTCACTCTCAAAAGCAGTGTATGTCTTGGTGTTGGTTTAGTTGTGAACGCCAGTGTCTGATGGACCCTCTTTTAAGCAGTGTGGTGTGTGGGTGTTGGTTTAGCTATGGACCTCAGCATCTGATTATCACTCTCATGAATAGTGGTGTGTAGTTGAGGTCAGCTGTAGACCTTAGCATCTGATGGGCACTCTCAGAAGCAGTGTGGTGTGTAGGTGTTAGTTTAGTTGTGGACCTCAGGGTCTGATGGTCACTCTCACGAGCAGTATGATTTATGAGTGCTGATTTAGCTGTGAACTTCAGTGTCTGGTGGGCGCTCATGAGCAGTGTGGTGTGTTGTTGAGTTCAGCTGTAGACCTTGACGTCTGATAGGCACTCTCACAAGCAGTATGGTTGTAGCTGTTGGTTTAGTTGTGGACATCAGCGTCTCTTGCGGTCGTGAACAATGCATGTCTTGGTGATGGTTTCCATGTAGACTTCAGCATCTGTCACTCTCATAAGCAGTGTGTGTCTTGGTGTTGGTTTAGTTGTGAACCCCAGCGTCTCTCTTAAGCAGTGTGTTGTGTTGGTGTTGGTTTAGCTGTGGACCTCAGCATCTGATGGTCACTTTCACAAGCAGTGTGGTGTGTAGGTATTGTTTTAGCTCTGAATCTCAGTGTCTGATGAATAATCTTATGAGCAGTGTGGTCTGTAGGTGTTGGTTTAGCTGTGGACCTCAGTGTCTGATAGTCACTCTCCCAAGCAGTGTGGTGTGTCTCCTTGATGGTTCAGCTGTGGACCTCAGCGTCTGATGGTCACTCTCACACGCATTGTGTGGCTCAGTGTTGTGTCTGGCTAATGTTCTCCTCCTGCCTCAGCCCATCAATCTAAGCACATGCACGGTCATGATGCACATCTTCCAGCTGAATGAAGATGGTCCCAGCAGTGAAAACCTGGAGGAAGAGTCAGAAAGCATCATTGCAGCAAACCACTGGATTCTGCCTGCAGGTACAGCGTGGGGCACTGTGCTGACGAGGTGGACAGAAGGGCTGCAAGTGCCCTGTATGCCCGCTTAGCGGGTTCCAAGTGCCTATCTCCTACATAGACTTCCTGTGTCAGAATCTGCCCTTTGGCCTGTCCTCACAGCATGTCTGGCTGCGAGGGCTGACAGTACCCCGCTGGGCTGGCCCCTGACTGGTCCTGACACTCTGCAGAGTCTGCCAGTGTGCCTGCAGCAAGTCCTAGGGTTACTTTGTCATCGGGTCTGTGCTCCCCATTCAGTGCTGCTCGAGCCCTCCACTGTGGAGCAGGTAGGGGCACTGTTGGTGCTTTCGTAAGGCAGATCCCTAAGAAATAGCTGTGCATGGGGCAGAATGGGAGTGCCCACTGTGACTCGGTCTCCCTGTCTTTCCACACTCACACGGGACCGTTGTATATTCTGTGTCTTTAATTTTAAGAAAGTTACATTTTTAAGAAAGATTTAAACACCTGTGACTTCATGTGATCAGATACTGCCCTACCACGTCATGACACTGGGAGCCAAGGTGCAAACCAGTATGTGGGATGTGAGTGTTCGTGCCCCTAACATCACACCCTTATTTTGTTCTTAGTGGAATTCCATGGCCTGTGGGACAGCCTGGTGTACGACGTGGAAGTGAAGGCACACGTAAGTTTCTACCAATTTTCCCTGAAAAAGCCCGCCACACTAACCAGACTCTGCACCGTGCTTCCTCCGTGTTGTTTTGAGCCTTGTGAACTCAGGTGGGCTTTGGGGCCTGCTGACAACAGCAGCCTGTGGCCTGGATGGCACCCCTGGGCGTGCTCCCGATGGGCAGGGAATAGACTGAAGACAGTGCTTCTGAATTACAGTCTCCAGAACTCACTGGGGTTCAGGAGGCATTGCCAGGGTGTGTGTGGGGGGTGGCATCTGAACTGGAGCTGGTCCAGGAGCCTGGGCCAGGGTAGCTTCTGGTGGGCAGGTCTGCACTAGAACCATCAGACCCTGGGCTGGTGTGGCTCCTAGCAGCCCTGAGGACTAAGCCCAGGTGGTGGAGGCTCTTAGCCACTGCTGCTGTGCCCTTTGCCCCTTCTGAGCCCTCTAGTAGGAGCTGGCTGGTTGCTGGTCAACCCATAGGGATAATTTCCCTGTTGGCATCTCAAATAAAAGTCACCTTCTGTTGGTTCTGTGTGGCAGTGGGGGCCTTCATCTCCTGGATTTCAGTGCCGTTTGAAGGGAAGCCCTTCAGGGCTCAGGTGTCTGGAGGTGGGGTCTCCACACGTGGCCTCTGCTCCCCTCCCCTTGGGAACAGGCCCTGAGGCGTGTTAGTGGGAAACTTTGCGCCGTTGGTCCTTTATCTGCTGCTTTCCTTGTCTTCCTTCAGCTCCTTGACTACGTAATGACGACCTTACTGTTTTCAGAGAAAAACGTCGACAGCAACCTCATAGCCTGGAACCGCGTCGTGCTGCTGCACGGTAAAACTGCTGTTTGCTTGCAGACATCGTGGGTAGAACTGCACTTCTGCATGTACCTCATCCTGCTGCAGGAAGTTAGAACCTCACTTTCTGATGGAGCCTTTCCTAGAACATGTCTTTCTGACATAAGCCCCACTCCATGAGCTTGGTGGTACTGCTGGCCCTGTTTGGCAGTGAACTACTCACTGTCCGTGGCCTCTTTTTGTAGCATTAGGAACTTCTCAGGTAACTTGGCCTTGTGTCCCAGCTGGTGGGAACTCATCATGAGTGCTCCTTTTACATGAGCAGGAGCCACAGGAAGTGTGTTTTACACATGTCCTGTCTGCTGGTTCCTGGAAGAAAAGACAGGTGAAGGTTTTCAGCATCACCAGGTAGAAAGGTGACAGGCATTGAATGGAGGGGAGGGACCTTCCTAGAGTTGCCAAGGTAGCCACCTGTTCAGGACAGTGAGATCTGGTGCTTGTCTTTCAGTCATGGACACTGTCCTTTAATGGTGGGTGCCAGCGGCACACTGCAGGACCAGCAGGTCAGCATGTAGCTGAGGGCCTCATCTTCTCTACATCCAGTTGCATGGCTCGCCTTTGATTGTGGGTGGTGCCATGGGAGTACGAGCTGGGTGTCTCCATGTCACACCCTCTGCACTGTCTTCTGGTCCCCTCAGGGCACGTGGACAGCAGGACTGGCTTTGGCCCTTCTGGCCCGTGTAGGTCCCACATAGAGGTCCTGACAGCATGGTTGAGGGTGGTCCCTTCACCCTGTTTACCAAGAGAGACATGTGGGACCAGCAGCGTGGCTCTGTGTGGTGCCCTAATGAGGGGACTTCACAGGGTGTGGGGGAAGGGACACTACTGTGGGGGCCATGAGCCTGGACTAGAAGATAGTGCTGAGTGGGGTCCAAAGTACATCAGGCCAAGTGTTCCTGGCCATGGGTAAGCAGTGGACATTCAGTTCAATAATAGCAAGCACCTCCTGTGTCCTGTGTGTTGAGTTATTGCTGGGCTACCTGTATGATGTTGGCCAGGCAGGCTTGGCTTCCAGCAGTTTTGTAGGTGCAGGAAGGAGACAGTGAACGGGTGTCAGACTTGCACCTCAGTGCAGTGAGGGCTGTACAGCTGCTCTGAACTGGCCAAGCCTTGGGCTCAGGGCAGGCCTTGTGGAGGAGGTGACAGACCTAGTGCACTTGGCAGAGGCTATGCAGCCAGAAGAGGTGGAAGGGGTGGGAGATAAATTACAGGATCTGAAAAAGTGACTGGGTTAGGGGCACGGTTGGCAGGAGAGGAAGTGGTATCCAAAGTTAGCTAAGGTTTCGTTTCTTTGATTTTCTGAGACACGGGGCCACTCCATTAGCACAGTGGCAAAGTTCCACGACTCACACAGCAAAGTTGTTTGATGTGACTTGGCATACATGTGTGTGTAGGTATAACTGGAACAGGGCCTTCCAATAGCACATGCCTGGCTGTACACTGGCAGCGTCTCTGCTTTAATGCATGTGTACACGCACGCACATGCAGCTGTCAACCACAGCCTTGTCATAACCCACAGAATGAGATGCACAGCATAGACTCTAACAGTTGACCCTTCATCAAGTGGGGCAGGTAAGAAAGGGGAGATTCGCACCCATGGAGGAGCCAGTCTTCTCTTAAAGTGCATCTTAACGTTGAGTGTCATTTCAGCATCCAGTGCAGCTGCCGTCTGAGTTAACAAAGCACTATGTTAACAGCGTCCAGTCTTCTCCCTCTTGTAACAAATCCTGTGCCTAATGTAACTAGTAATAAATGTAGGCGCCTCTGTGGCACAGTGGTTAAAGCATCTGACTACTAACCAAAAGCTTGGTGGTTTGAACCCACTGGCTGCTCCACTGGTAAAAGATGTTGGAGTCTGCTTCTGTGAAGATTACAGCCTTGGAAACCCTGTGGGGCAGTTCCACTCTGTCCTCTAGGGGTGCTGTGAATTGTAATTGATTCCACAGCAGTGGGTGTGGTTTGGACTTTGCTTCCATACAGATTGTCAGCCTCAGACAAGGTTGTAGTCATTTCTTAGCCATCTCCAGCTACCCAGAGGGAGCAAGTAGTTGGACCTATGGTCTCGGGACCGTGGTCACAGGGGACATCAAACTCAATTGGCATAACATACTACACAAAAACATTGTTCCACATCCTACTTTGACGAGTAGCAACTGGGATCTTAAAAGCTTGCAAGCAGCCATCTAGATGCAACGATGGGTCTCTCATCCAGAGCAAAAAAGAATGAAGAAAACCAAAGATGCATGGAAACAAGTAGTCCAAGGGACTGATACACCATGCAGTCCTCAGCTATACGACTGTGAGACCAGAAGAACAGGATGGTACCTGGCTACCACTGTCAACCACTCAGGGGGTCTGTGTAGGAGATCCTGGATAGAATGGGAGAACAATGTGGAACAAAATTCAAAATCATAGAAAAAAAAAAAGAAGAAGAAGACAAGGTTTGCTGGTCCCATAGAGCCTAGTGAAACCTCTGAGACTACAGTCCCTAGCTGCCCCTCAGGTCTGGAATTGAACCCATTCCTGTGGCTTCCAGCCAAATAAAAGGCATATGAGCTGAACATTAGGTAGATACACTCCTTGGAGAGATCAATCATGGGAGAATAGAAGGGCTGTGTATGTACGGTGAGACAGCTGGGGGGGGCGGGGCAAGAGAGCATAGGAAGGAAGGACACAGGGAAGAGGTAACTATGGGGAGGAAGTGGGAAGAGAGCTGTTACATTGTGGGAAATTACAGTCAATGTCATGAGACAATGTGTGTGAACTGCTGTATAGAAGATGAATTTGTAAAGTTTCACCTAAATCACAATAAAATTTTAGAAAAATTATCAGCCTTGGAAACCCTTTGAGGCAGTTCCACTCTATCCTCTAGGGGCACTGTGAGTTGGAATTAAGTCATAGCAGGGGGTTTGGTTTAATGCAGCCAGTGTTGTTTGTGAGAATCTGTTACAGTGCTGTCTTAAACATGCATTTGCTTGAATTCTGTCACAGGTCCCCCAGGAACTGGGAAAACGTCCCTGTGTAAAGCACTAGCCCAGAAACTGACCATCAGGCTCTCAAACAGGTAACTTGTAGTGACAGGAGAAGAGAGCTGCTGGAGTGGGGTGCTCACTCTGTTTGTTTATTGTTTTAATCATCTTACTAGGTGCCTCTCCTTCATTCTAAATCAGTTAACTCCTCTGCTTTGAGCGTCGCCTGTCTTAAGTTACGCTTCAGTCTCTGAATTTGCTGAGCTTCATTGCTTGACCAGCACATGTTCCATCTTGGCTAGTGTTCTGTAGCTGGCGAGGTCAGGAGTGTGGAAGTCTCTAATTATAGCTGGGAATGTGTCCTGTTGTTGGTGGGTTCCAGCATCTCCCTACCTGCTTTCCCTGCCCCCACCTGCCATGGGAATGCATGAGTGCACACTTTAGACTGCTTAATACTGGAGCCCACGGGTCGCTGCCACTCTGATTTTGTTATTGTCTTTTTTTTTCAGTTTTTAAAAATTTGCTGCCTGTTTCTTTTTGGACTGTTTCTCTCTGTACGTCTTCAAGGTCGCTGATTTTCTGTAGTCTGATAGGCTTAAGTTCGTATCCTGTAGCATGCTTTCTTCTTTGGAGGTTCCTTTGGCTTCTTTTTGCACCCACTATTTCCTTCCTCATGTGCTTGTTAAAATTCCTGAACTTGTTTATAATAGCTGTCGTAATGCTCTTCTCTACTAATTCCGTCATTGTTAACGTTTCATTTCTGTCGATTGGTTTCTCTTCTGATTGCGGGTCGCATTTTTCTGCTTCTTGGCATGTCGAGTGATTTTGGACAGAATGCTGGATTGTTAGTGCCTAGATTGGGTTGTGTTCCTTTGGAGACCATTGGGCTTTGGGCTGGTAGCCATTTTAATTACTTGTGATTTAGTGTGATCCTTTTGAGGTTTGTTTTTAAGTTTTGTTACGTGGGGCTCTAGGGGTTTAGTGTAGTGTCGGTACTAGAAGATGGTCCATCCAGGGTCCATTGAAAACACTGTGGATGGCCAGTGCACACTCTGTGTGTGAACTCTGGGAACTTTGTCCCTCACAGTTCTAAGTCACTGTGCTCTTCTCCTGACATGCTTCAGCTGTCAACCCCACAATGATTCCAGGCTTTATTCCTGCGTGTCCTCCTCACCTCTGGAACTCCACAGACTCCCTGGACTTACAGTGACATGGTCACATTCTGCTGGCTTTTCCGAGGATTGCAGTGTGGAAATGCCTACAGGAAGGAAGCCAGGGATTGTAGGGCACCCCACATAACCCTTCTCAGGTCACAGCCCTCTACTGTCTGTGGCCCAGTGTGGTTTCAGGGTTTGTCTTGTTTTCAAGTTGTTCAAGGCAAGAGAGTAAATATGATACCTGTTACTCCGTGGTGACTGAGGGAGGAAATGCTGATGTTAACTCTGACCTGTTACTCCACGGTGACTGAGAGGAAATGCTGACATTAACTGACCTGTTACCCCACAGTGAGTGAGAGGAAATGCTGATGTTAACTCTGACCTGTTACTCCATGGTGACTGAGGGAGGAGATGCTGAGATTAACTCTGACCTGTTACTCCATGGTGACTGAGAGGAAATGCTGACATTTAACTCTGACCTATTACTCCCTGGTGATTGAAAGGAAGTGCTGATGTTAACTCTGATCTGTTACTCCACTGTGACTGCAAGGAAGTGGTGACATTAACTAGTGTCTCGTAAGTGGGTAAATGTTTATTTCAACCCTTTGTTTTGTGTTGATGATCAAGGCCATTGTTTTGACAAACTGAACTGTGTGCTTTGACGATCTCTGGGGCAGTTTTATGGACCATCCAGGTGAAGATGGTAGTACGTTTCGAGTGCAAAGATCTGGACGTGGTATTTATTCTACACCTCCTTGCTGTTACTCGCCGTCGAGGTGGTTCCAACCCGTGTATGCGGACAGGGCTGCTCCACAGGGTTTTCCAGGCCACGTGTGACCTGTCTTCCAGGATGCCTCTGTGTGGGTTTGAACTGCCAACTTCTCAGCTGGTGGTCAAGTGCTTAACCGTTTGTGCCACCCAGGGACTCCAAAGCACTGGCAAGCTTAGCATGGTTCTCCCTTCTACTTGGTCATCAAAGTAGAATTGAGTTTGTTTGATAGGCATACAATCTTTACGTCACTGGTTGACTTTTGTTTTTCTTTTCTTTTAGTTGGCAGTATTAGTAAATGGCCTTTTGTTCTTTCGTCTTTCAAATGAGAAGCCAGGGATGCTTTGGAGAGTCCTCTTTTTTCTTCCGTGGACTCCGCATGTAGGAGAATTGCACACGGCACATGGAGGCAGCTTTGTCTCATCACAGCCTTGTTTCTTATTTGATTTTATTTGGAAACGAGATACATCAGACTTAGCAGCTGCCTTTAGGGTGAGGCATTCAGTCCATGGCAGTGGTGACATTGACCGTCCATGCTCCAGGGCACCAGGGTGAGCCGTGTAGTGAGTCCTGGACTCATTTAGTCCATGGCAGCGATGGCACTGGCCATCCACACTCCAGGGCACCAAAGTGACCCGTGCAGTGAGTCCTGGACTCATTCAGTCCATGGCAGTGGCGATGATGGCCATCCATGCTCCAGGGCACTAGGGTTACAGGATGTGACTTGGTTCAGGAAACGAGCCACCCTGTTCCTTATGGTTTCCTGGGCAGAGAAAAGCTCATCTGTGGCTGAGCTCGGGAGGCATGTTGTTTGGTCTGCTCTGTTAGTGCTGGTGATGCTTTTTTTTTTTTTTAGGATTTGGGTGAAGATTTACAGAGTAAATTCACTTTTCATACAGCAGTTCACATATACTTTGTCTCATGTCATTGACCAAAATTTACAATGCAGCAGCTCCCCTCCCACTTCCTCCCCATACTTACCTCCTCCCAGTGTCCATCCCTTCATACTCTTCTGCACCCTGAGCTATCTCCCTGTGCATAAGCAACCCTTCCTTCTCCCATGATTGTTCTCTCCAGGGCGTGTGTGGTGATGCTTTTTAAATGTAGGAGCGTAAATCGTAAGTGGATGAAAAAGCCACCTGTTGGGTGTTAGTGAGTTGGGTCTTCCTATCTTGTCTCTTTGGTGTTTGAAGGGAACGTGGGAGTTATTCCTACTCTGACTCAGAGCACTGTTGTGCTGTCTGACTTGAGCTGAACATGCTGCCTTCTGGAACCGCTGGGTGCACCCTGACAGATTTCCCCGTAGCATGCTGCATATGTCAGTTCCTTGTAAGTGTTTCTAGAGGCCTTGCAAAAAGGGCAAGGAGGCCACATGTTCTGACCTCCTCTAATCCCACAAGAGGAAGACAGAATCACCATCAATAGCCCAAGGCCTATTCCTACGAGGCCAGACATGCTGCCTCCCTCCAGCCATTTCTCCAACTATTCCTCCCAAAGCACCCACCACCTCTCTCCTGGGTTCGATAATTCGCTACAGTGGCCATGCAGAACTCACAGATTATGGGGTTTATTAGGGAAGCACCACAGGCTACAATTCAAGTTCAGAAAAACACTCATTCTCTCTCCCAGCCCACCATCTCAGCCAAGTCTCTCACAGTCTCTCCCCCAGCAGTGCATGTCTTTTGCGTCTCTTTCCCAGCAGCACATGTCTCTTTCAGGAGTGCATGTCTCTTTTAGCAGCATGTCTTCCTCAACCAGCAGTCAGCGTGAGTTCTGCCTCTAGGAGGCCTCCTTTTGAGTCCGGCAGAGTGGTCAAACTAGCCAATCACAGTATCAGAACTCTAAGCACCTGAGAGAGAGTGGGAACCTCCCAGAACATTGTTTTGTGCCACTCCCAACAGAAATACTCCAGGTGGACAACTTTAGCAATCAGGAGCTCCTCAGTTGCTCATAGCAAATCCCACCTTGGAGTTTACAGAGACTGATGGGTAGAAAAGCCACACTAAGTAATTTACTACACCGCAGACCTGCAGGCTGGCCATCCTCAGTGCTAGGAGCCTGAGAGCAACTAAGCTACAGGAGTGAGATGCAGCCATGGGACTAGCGTGTTAACAGATTGTCCTGGCCCCATGTGTGTTGTCTCAGGTACCGCTACGGCCAGCTGATTGAGATCAACAGTCACAGCCTCTTCTCCAAGTGGTTTTCAGAAGTAAGTTCAGTTCTGACTGATTCCCTGCATCATCACCACTGTCATTGAGAAAATGCCCTGGGTGTTAGGCAGCCTCACCCCTCCGGAAGCATTGGGGGAGAAGCAGGTGACATGAGGACTGGGCCTCATGGCCTTGGGAGGCCCAAGGGCGAGCAGCAGTGGAAACAGGCCCAGGCTTGAGTGGAACCCCCACAGATCATCTCCCAGCCCCTCAGCTGTGTGGTCCAAGGGTCTGGCAGACTCAGGAGAGCAGAGCAAGCATCCACTCAGCCTGCCTCCTGCTGGGCACAGCCTCAGCGGCCAGGCCTCATTCTGCCACCTGTGGACTGAGGGGTCGAGTGAGATGACATCATGGGCACTCCCACCCTGAAACAGTGCTTATCCGAGGCACCAGGTAGATGCGTCCCTAGCGGGTGGTGAGTCAGGAAGCAGCATGTTGGGGACAGGGTGTGCCTCCAGGGAACAAGCTCAGGGAGTGTACAGTGTGCTCGCTGCAGCTGCCATCCTTTGAGTCAGCAAGGACAGTGGCTAAGCATGCTATGGCCATAAAAATGAGGTATCCAGGCCACAGGGTCTTGGACTGGGGCACGAATGTCCAGTTTCCACCCCCACAGGCTCCTAAGCACAGGGCACATTAGGTCGACCCCTCGGCTGGCCTGGTCACCTGGCTCTGGTGCAGTCTGGGGTCTCCAGGGGAGGTGGGCTAACAGCTACAGGTGCATGTGTCCTTGGCCATGTGCTCAACACTGAAAGTACATGTTGGTTGTAGAGTGGCAAGCTGGTGACCAAAATGTTCCAGAAGATTCAAGATCTGATAGACAACAAAGATGCCCTGGTGTTTGTGCTTATTGACGAGGTGAGACTGCTGACCAACAGGAACTCCCACCTCTCACCAGACACCCTGCTCTCATGCTACATTGGGCTCCGCCTCCCCATGCCTCGTCCATCCTGGGCTCCAGCCGTCCTGCACCTCATCCATTCTAGGCTCCAGCCTCCCTATGCCTCGTCCGTCTTGGGCTCCGGCCACCCCACGCCTTGTCCATCCTGGGCTCCGCCCTTCTCACGCCTTGTCCATCCTGGGCTCCGCCCTTCCCACACCTTGCCCATCCTGGGCTCCAGCCTCCCCACGCCTTGCCCATCCTGGGCCCCAGCCTCCCTGCGCCGTGTCCATCCTAGGCTCCACCCTCCCCATACCTCATCTATCCTGGGCCCCAGCCTCCCTGCACCTTGTCCATCCTAGGCTCCACCCTCCTCACGCCTTTCCCATCCTAGGCCCCAGCCTGTGCCTTGCCCATCCTGGGCTCTGGCCTCCCTGTTGTCACACAGGCGCTCTCCCCTCTCCCCGCCCCCTAGCCGCAGAGCGCATCCACTCAGCCAACTGTCCCCTGGTGCTGCCCATGGAGCTCCCGCTTGGGCGGATCATCTGGCTGACCTGGTGCCTGTCCCTGCAGGTGGAGAGTCTCACAGCAGCCCGCAATGCCTGCAGGGCAGGCACAGAGCCATCAGATGCCATCCGCGTGGTCAATGCTGTCCTGACCCAGATTGACCAGATCAAGAGGTAACTTGCCTGGTGTCAGGACAGACGGGTCATGACCAGACTGTAAAGACCACATTTATCTCTCATGGTTTGGAGGCCAGGAGTCTGAATTCAGGGACTAGCTGGGGCAGGGGGAGGTGGGGCTTCCTCATCAATTTCTGCTTCTAGCAGCTGCCAGGAGTCCTTGGCAATCCTGGGCTTGCAGGGCGTCTGCCATGCTCGTCTGTCTTCTTGGGCCATCTCCCCTGCACGTGTCCTGGGCGCAGGGGTGTCTGTGTGCATGTCTGTCCTCATGCACCATCTCCCCTGCACGTGTCCCAGGCTTGCGGAGGTGTCTGTGTGCATGTCTGTCTTCATGCCCCGTCCCCCTTGCGCGTGTCCTGCTGTCTCTGCCCTGCTGTAGAGGGATCAGGTTTAGGACCTGCTCTGCTCTGATGTGGCCTCATTGACATCACAGAGAAAACCCACTTCCATCAGGGTCCCACTCACAGGCACAGAGGTCAGGATGTCAGTACATATTTGGGGTACACAATTCAGTCCACAGCAGAGATTAGCTTAATTTTTTTTTAAGTTTAAAAACGTGAGGTAGGACTCAGGCCTGTCAAACCGCACCTGGTGCAGAGGTGTAAGACGGAATCAAGGCAGCACCACTTGGCCACATCTGCGCTGACACCCCAGCGTTTGCTGTGGTTGGGGGTGACGTCAGCCTGCTCCCCCTGCTAGCTTGAGGACCAGGCCTGTGCCATTATCCCCAAGTGGGGCAGGTTAGGGGCTGACTCCCACTAACCAGATACTCAAGGAAGTGATGTAGAAACCTGAGCCCCCATCCACATGCCCTCTGCTAGCCAGAATCCTCGCCCCTCTCCTCAGTACTCTTAGAGCTCCAGGATGGGGGGCAGAGAGTGAGCCCCAGGGTGTGGAGGGAGGTAGGAGGGTGAGGGGGGCAGAGTCCAAGCCCCAGGGTGTGGAGGGAGGAGGGAGGGGACAGGCTGGAAGGTGTGAAGGAGAAGCTCCTGAGGCTGACGGTGGTGCTTACAGCAGAGGGGCTCTGATTTCCTGTGTGTTCCAGCCTGTCGTTCGCGTGTGCTCTCCCCTCCCACCTGCCTGTCTGTCCACCATCGCCTGGCTTCCAGCCCAGCCCTGCCTCCTCCTGTTAGAACTGACAGGTTTTCTCCTTGGGAACTCCCCACAGCCTTGGACCCCCGGGACCCTCCCTGCAGCTCTCCTTGCCTCCTTCCTGCGCTCCGGCTCTTCTGGGTTCCCCACATGCGGGGTCCCTTGGAGCTGCCCTGGCCTCCCCTAGCTCACTTGTGCCCCACAGGCACTCCAACGTGGTGATTCTGACCACGTCCAACATCACAGAGCGCATCGACGTGGCCTTCGTGGACAGGGCCGACATCAAGCAGTACGTCGGGCCCCCGTCAGCAGCTGCTATCTTCCGGATCTACCTGTCCTGCTTGGAGGAGCTGATGAAGGTGAGCTGGGAGGCCAGCACGTGGTGCGGCTGCAGACCACCCCGTATGGCTGGAGCTTGCATGTCCTGGCCGGTTAGCTTGCTTGTGCCCGTGGGTTCTTCGGCACAGAGGGCCACCTTCTGTTGCTCAGTGAGCTGACACAGAGACAGTGAGGAAGGGAGGACGTGGCCGACCGTCATCCGATTCTGCACTTACCACCGTCTGTGCAGTCTCCCCACGAGAACAAGAGCCGCCATGGCCATCCTCAGCACACACCGTTAATGGGCCATCTAACGCAATTCCTGTGGCTGGCAGTGTGGGAGACCCCGCCTGTTGTGTGGCCGTCTTAGTGACTGTGCATGTCTGCCTCCAGGCCCCTCTCTCTAGGTGTCCCTGGGGCCAGGCATGTCTGTGACAGTGCGTGTCTGTCTCATGTTGCCCCCGCCCCCGGCATCCCCATGACCATGTGTGTCTGTCTTGTGCCTCCCACAACTGATATCCCCGTGACCAAGCGGGTCTGCCCCTGCCCCCCTCCCAGTGTCCCTGTAACTGAGCATGTCCGCCCCCGCCCCCTCCCCGGGCGTCCCCGTGACCCAGCGTGTCCGCCCCCGCCCCCTCTCCGGGCGTCCCGTGACCCAGCGTGTCCGCCCCCGCCCCCTCCCCGGGCGTTCCCGTGACCCAGCGTGTCCGCCCCCGCCCCCTCTCCGGGCGTCCCGTGACCCAGCGTGTCCGCCCCCGCCCCCTCTCCGGGCGTCCCGTGACCCAGCGTGTCCGCCCCCGCCCCCTCTCCGGGCGTTCCCGTGACCCAGCGTGTCCGCCCCCGCCGCCTCTCCGGGCGTCCCGTGACCCAGCGTCTCTCTCCAGTGTCAGATCATCTACCCCCGGCAGCAGCTGCTGACCCTGCGGGAGCTCGAGATGATTGGCTTCATTGAGAACAACGTGTCCAGGCTGAGCCTTCTGCTCAGCGAGATCTCCAGGTGGGACTGACCCCTGCACCGAGAACCCATCTCACAAGGCCTGGGTGTCTGAGGATGGGCTGGAGCGCTGCAGCCCACCCCAGGAGGTCTGGGAGAGGTCTGCAGGCCGCAGGGTCAGATGGCGGAAGGCTGCAGGCACAGAACAGGGTGTGCCTTGCGCACAAGGGGTTTTCTTAAGTGCAGTTGGATTCTGCAGATGAGCAGGTAGAGACATGGAAAATGGAAGACTCTGCCCCAGAACCTCGTGTGTGATCACAGGGCCCGTGGCGGTGCTTTGGGATGGAAGGGTTACCCAGAGAGCAGCTGCCTGTGGGACTGTGGGCGAGGGCCTCCCAGGGCTCAGGCTCAGGAAGGGTGCCTTTCCTTACAGGGGCATGGGCAGGAAGGAGGAAAGTGACAGGCCTTGCCGGTGAGGTCTGAGGTCTTGTGGGGCAGAGCAGGCAGTGACAGGCAGGTCCTGGCTCTAACAGGGCAGAGGAGACAGTGACAGGTGGCCAAGTAGCACCTCCATGACTGCTAAGAGTGTCCTCTCTGGGGACTCCATGGGAAATGGTCACCGGATCCCGCCCTCTACCATGCAGCCTGTGGGTGGGGCCTGGGGCCATGGACAGAGGCCTGAGACACCCAGGGAGGTGAAGGCTTTGTTGGCCCCACTAGGCGGCTGCCAGGCTGACCTGAATGAGCCGTGAGGCCCGTGGGCCATTCCTATGGTTCCCACCCTAACGGTCCCTCTCCACCATCCCCCGCCCGACCATCCCCACCCTGACTGTGGCTGTTCCCCAAACAGGAAGAGCGAAGGTCTCAGTGGCCGTGCCCTACGAAAGCTCCCCTTCCTGGCCCACGCGCTGTATGTGCAGGTGAGCGCCTCCACGGAGGGCGGTCTGCGGGCCACGCAGCGCAGGAGCACCTGGAGCCTGGGGTGCCGAGTCCTTGGGGGAAGGTGGCCGGCCACGTGTGCATCTGCCCACCCACACACGTGATCACACATGTACCTGCAAGGGCACGCACACACTCCCACACGTATAGCTGGCTCCTTTCGCTGTGCGTAGGGGTCGGGGCAGCCCAGTGGGGGCCAGGCGCTCTGATTTCTGCGTCCTTTCTAGGCCCCCACTGTCACAATCGAGGGCTTTCTCCAAGCGCTGTCCCTGGCGGTGGACCGACAGTTTGAAGAGAGGAAGAAGCTTTCCAGTGGTGTGTGATCCTCGGTGCTGGCTCCCCCGCAGTGTTCCCGCAGCCATGCTGTGCCCAGGGCCCATCAGGACCCTCCCAGCCAGCTGGGACATTACATCCCTCCGAGCACCCTGTACCCGGTCACCTCAGCACCGACCTGGAGGCCGTGTCCCCACGCTGCGAGCTCCATGACAAGAAGCAGGTCATTGTCCTGTGGCTTCTTGCCCACTGGAGGACAGGTGGCCCGGCGTGCCCACTGTTTGAGGAAGTTCTGGATGCCAGCAGTTCAAGTTGTGTCTATGAAGACCTGCCTCCTGCTGCTCCCACCGCACCACTGTCTGCACTTTGTTATAACAGGAAAAGGGAGATCATGTAGAAACAAGGCAAGCAGCCTGGCCTCGTTGACCACGTTCCTCCGGAGCTCCCTGCGTTTCACGCTGACGGGCCTGGGGACCTCGGAGGAGCAGAGCCCGTGCCAAGGGGTTGGAACGGGGAGCCACATGCGTGCGGGAGGGGCTGGGGCGCCGTGTGTGTGCCCAGACCCATCAGCTGCCTCCGAGACGCGGTGTTCCGGTTTCGTGGGTTCAGAGATGTGGTTCACGTCTCGGGGGAAGTCGGGTGAACAGCGTAGAGGAAATCCAGCAGTAATTGATGTATTCCACGGATGTTATGCATTCTGTTTATTTCATGCTGAAGTAAATTTCACATTTTATACTTGAAGTCCAGTTTTAAGGGACAGATTATATTTTGCTGTAGGACTTTTAAGTATTAAAACGCTATTTTCCAGAATTTTCTCTCCTGGTTGGCTTAAATGTGCCTCTCAAATGTTTTGGATTTTATTAAAAGTTTTCCCCCACCAGTACTTGTTTTCCTTCTTGGTGGCTCCAGGGCTGCACGGTCTGGTGCAGCCGTAGCTACTACGCCTAGGGGAACAGATCCATACGGTTCAGGGTTCAGTCCCTCTGCCATAGCCGTGGTGGCTGATTCCCCAGCAACAGCACGCAGACGTGGGCTCCTGTGAAGCAGCCCCGGCCTTGGGTTCAGTGTGGGTCTGGCACCCACCCCCCATCTGGAGGGCTCATGGGAGCTGAGCTGGGTGTCTGCTGCCCCCCTGCCCCTGAGCCCTATTATGGTGGTCACTCAATGGCTTGTGTTGCTGCATGGAAGCCCAGATCTCTGTCCTAGAGGAAGCACCAGGGCCATCTTCCCAGGGAGACACTATTTTTACCATTCATCATTTTTTTTTTGTTTTTGTGATTTAGTGAAAGTTTACAGAGCAAATGCATTTTCCATACAACAGTTCATACACATTTTGTCTTGTGACATTGACTGCAATTCCCCACAATGTAATAGCTCTCTTCCCACTTCCTCCCCATAGTTACCTCTTCCCTAAGTCCTTCCCTTCCAGGTGTTCTGCCCCCCCC